GACAGAAGCCCACCATTATGCAGCACCCGGGCCTTGAACTGCCAACCTGCCGAACACAATGTTTTAAATAACTTTGTGCATGAAACAAAGGTGTCACTATCTCAGCCACCCATGTGGACAATTTTGGATGTTAGAATATTTCAGGAATTCCTGATAAGAGAGACTCAACCTGTACTACTCTAATATGGACTTTGGAATATTTCAGGGAATTTTCTATGCACTCATTATACAAAGATTAGGAACTTTAGCTTTTGTTTTGGTGCTTTTGCTGATTAATTCTTGAACTAATTTGTCTTTGGGAACAACACACACAAACACATGCGCTTACACTGCCTGTTTGATTAAAAAACAACAACAGAGCACTTAGCAAATCAGGGTAATTGTTCCAGGATATTTAACTTTATGCTCAACTCTATGGGAAAAAAAAGAAAATGAGAAAGCATGAAATCTGTTTTGTTTAAGCCCAACAGGTTTACATTTAATTAAATTTGTTGTTTGGCAAAGCATCTGTTTTACACACTAATGAGTGACAGTCCTATGGGGCTTTCGCATATAAGTATTTTCACTTCATCACACAAATCTAAAGTGTACTTGCTTTTAGAAGTTCCAATCAGCTGCTTTCTCACTTGAGCAGATGGTGGAAACATTGCAAGATCACTTTATCTATCTACGCATTTCCTACAATTGTCTTACGTCAAAAGTGAGGTTTAACCAAGTGACAGGGTGAGAACTGTACAACCTTCCAGATGTTATGGAACTCCAATTCCCATCATTCATCATTATTGCCCATGCTGCCTGGATGTAAGGCCAGGAGAGCAGACATGTTCCAAAAGAGCTTGGAAGTAACTAGTTACAAATAATTTTCTTCTTGTGTGCCTTCCAGTTTTTTCAAACTATGGCAACCCTAACCTATCATAGGATTTTATTGGTGAGATTTGTTCAGAAGGAGTTTGCTTTTGCATGCCTTTAAAACTGAGAGTGTGACTTGTTGAGCAATTAATGCGCACACAAAGTAATTCGGAAGCTATCTTCACTTTGCAGAGAAGAACACCTGGCGACCTTGGAGCTGGAATGCATCCTCCCAGCCTCTGATGAAACAGACTGAAGCCAGGTTAACTCCAAAGAGGCACATTTATTCATCAGTTGCAATATGTACAGGAAAAACTATTTACACTCATCATGGACCAATGACAACCCACACACAACAACAATGTGGTCTCTGTTATTTATAGATACTTGCCATGTGGCCACTAAGTCCAGCCTCTTCCTGTAACTTTCTTCCTGTGTCACTTGAAATGTTGTCCCCCCCCAAACATTATCACATAATGTGTTTACACTTGGTCTACGTGCTGTTTGGCACATACTGACCTTAGACACTGCTATGTTGTTTTGTATCCCAGCTGCAGACAACTTTCCCAGCTAGCAAGCTGTAAAGTGTAAAGTGACTTGTAGCACCCTTTGTCACTTTCCCACATCTGGACATTTAAACTCAGGTTACAAATCCCAACATTCCCCTCCAATGTACAGATGTGTGTGTCATGTTATTTACAGATTTTGCACTTTAACTCAACAGTTAGAATTGTGCATTTATGGTGCCATCCCTACTAGACGTGATAGCTGTTCATGTTTCTCTTATGGCAATGCCTTTGTGAAAACATCAGCTATATTGTCTCTGGTGTCAATGTACTCCAGATGCAAAACCTTGTTCTGGATCATTTACCTGACATTTTGGTACCTTACAGCTATGTATTTTGTTCTACATTTCAAATTCTCAGTCTCTGACATTGCAATGCATGATTGTGAATCCTCATGTACTACAGTAGGTTCAGTGCATTTTTCACCTAAGTCTTCAAGCAATTGTCTTATCCACTGTATTTCTCCAACCAATTTAGACAATGCTGCAAACCCAGCCTCAGTTGTGCTCAGAGCTACACAGTTCTGCTTTCTGCTGCACCAAACTATTGGACTTTCTGCAAACTTTACTAACAAACTAGACACTGACTTTCTGTCATGTAACTTTGACACGAATGAGCTGTCAACAAAACAATCAAATTGAACCATGCTGCCCTGCATCACCAGTTTTCTATATTTGCTGCCTTTCAGATACTTTAATGCATGCTTCACTGCAGTCCAGTCCTCAACAATTGGATTGCTCACCTTCCTGCTAAGCACTCCAACTGCAAAAGAAATATCTGGACTTGTATTGTTTGCAATGAATATCAAGCTTCCTACCACACTTCTAAACAATTCTGGATTGTCAAACTCCTTTGTTGACTCACCACTGGTGTCATTAGACATTTAACAACTTTAGCACTTTGCAGTCCACACTTCTCAATCAGCCTTTCTATCTTTTTTTCTGTTGACTCAACAAACATCTACCATCTTTAATCCACTGTACATCAATCCCTATGTAAGGAGGGATGCACACGGGCTAAAAGGGTTGTTTTGGTCTTTAGATGACACACGCCAAAAAAGTGTACACTACCTGCCTCTTCCTGTGAAAGTGCACTCCAAAAAGGAGCCACTTTTTTCCGCTCCTTTGGTGAAGATGCGCACCTTTGCATGTGTGTATGTATGCAGTGACACTGATGCACCAGAAAACAGCCACATAAATGCACCATCGCACGTGTGGTGGAAATTCTTGGCATTCCAGAGCATGCACCCTATGATGCCAGCTTTAATTTAAAGCGCCCTATGCTTCCAGGTGTGGATGCACTGGCGTAGGTATGCTTGAATATTAGAACCCAAACCCTAGGGAAGCAGAGGTCAGTGAATTCTTGCATGATATGTGGGTGTATGACAGAACCTGTGCAGGTGCACAGGGATGCCAAACTTTAGTCAGCTTTGTACACAGAGAGTGACAGACTGTATACTAGCTATGACAGGACATACTTGTACTTAAATCTTTTTCTCATTAACAAAGATATAATAATATTGCATTGCAACTTAGCTAGGGACAGAATTTTTTTTTAATTATAGGAGTGAGGCTGTACTAGGTAATCCAGAAGGAATATTGGGCCTTTGCAGACTACCAGAAATAGTGCAAATTGAGTCCACTTTAAGGGTTAGGGTTAGGGAATCATGGGAACTGTATTTTATTGTGGCACCAGAGCTCTCTGTCTCAGGGGGGAAAAAACAATTCCCATGACTCCCTAGCAATAACCCTAACCATTAAAGTGGACTCAATTTGCACTATTTCTGGGTTTAACTGCTAGCTTGTGTAACCTGTAAGCCCTCAATGGATGCCTTCCCTTGTTCTAGTTAAAGAGTTGTCCAGTCCAAAGGTTCTTTCACACTACACAATTATAGCACAATGGTTCTATTTTAATTCACTTGGCAAAATCCTATGGAATCCTGGGTTTTGGAGATTGGCACTCATCCTCCAGAAACTATATGATAATTTACAGTGGTTAATAATTCTCCTGGGCCCCCTGGTTATTAGAGCTAGTTATTATTATTTTTAATTGCATCTTTCTATATACATAGGTGCAAATGTTATGAAAATATGCACTTTGTAATGCACTTCCTCTTCTGGGTGATGCATGTGCGACCCTTAGCATTTCTCTTTTTCCAATATAAATTTAGTGAAACAGTTTCCCTGATTTCTCTGCCTTCAAAAAGGGTGGAGCATTGTGAAAAGCCATTTGCACACAACACAGTTTACATTAGAACCATGAACAGAAACATCTAGAATTATAAGGCATCCTCATTCCTCCCCTCCTGCCACCAAGATATTATTGGTCAACTCTGTATTAATTTTTACTTATTGTCAATTGCTTGGATGCTGAGAGCAACATCTCCATACCTCATCTAGAAAGCTGAAGTGGATGATGTGATGCTATTGTGTTGACAATTTCCCCATCCCTAAGGCAAATTAATCATAGGCTTTTCTTTGGCTGAGAGTCTGTGACTCATCAGGATAACCCAGTGGGTTTCTATGGCCAAGTAGGGAATTGAACCTAATCTTCAGAGTTATAGTCCAAAGCTGAAACCACTGCACCACACTGCCTCTACAGAACTTATTGCATTCATTTTAAAAACCATTTTGCCTGATCCAGAATAAATTTTAAAGCGGGCAGCATCATCAGAAATATTTAGCTGCTGAAATTGCTACAAAGGTCCCTCCTGGGTCCATCCTCGCTCCCAGGGCTACTCCAGCAGCCATTTTCTTAAACCAGAAAACTCTCCACTTCAAAAATAGGTGCATTGAGTGCCCCTGGGAGTGGAAATGGACCCAGGATAGACCCAGGTGGCAATTTCAGCTGCTAAATCCTTCTGATAATATCAGGATGATGCTTACTTTAAAATTTAATCCGGATCAGGTAAGATGGTTTTAGAATGAATGCTATAAACTTCCATATTACCCTAATTAAACCTCATGTAGGCCCTAGGGTAACAACCTCAACACAGGCCCTGAGAACAAAAGAAGCTTTGCAGTATTTGAGAAGACCAGGACCCTGTTAACATTACACCATTAAAGCACTCTGATTCTGCTTCAACTGCCATGCATCCTATGGCATCCCATAGATTTGCATCTCAAAGAGGGGGATTAAGAATTCTCAGCCAGAGAGTTCTAGTTTCTCACAGAACTACAGATCCCAGGAATCCATAGGATGTTGCGATATCAATTAAGGTAAAATCACAGTGCTATAATTGCAGCATGAAAAGGCCTCATGGAAAGAGATCCTAAGATGCATTCCAAGATTCATGGACAGGGACCCCAAAGCAAACTTAAGTATTAGGTACAGCAAGATACCCAATGGAAAATAGAAAAGGAAATGGTGGAGAAGTAAATGAAATCAGCAGGGAAATGAGGAAAAGCACAGAAGTAACTCTGAGGCAATTGTACATATTGACCTGAACGAACCCATCAATTCTTTGCCTTTAGGCAACAGGCTTTAAATAATTGGTGAAAGCAAGAGGATCTTATTCACAAGAGTTATTTTGTGTAATTTAATTGGTGTACTCCTCAGGGTCTAGGAGAGAGATTCTTGAGTAAACTGAGTGTATATTTCTTCTCAGTTTATTCATGTGTCTCCCATTAGTGTTAGTGGGAACTAATTTTCCTCTCAATTAAAGTAATGAAACTGGTGTGAAAACAGTATGAAATGGGAATCTAGCATGCTAATGTTTATATTTTATATTCACTACATAATGTAAGGAATAGGATATGAAGATGGATTGATTTTATTGGAGTAATGTGAATAATCATTTAGTTTATGGAATATGACCAATCCAAGGAGGAAACCCTGAAGGCCCTACTCTGTCTATTTTTTAGGAAGCAGGACTGGGTCCAAAAAATGATGTATTGGCATGGACAAGTCATATGACTGCTGTGTCTGAGAAATATATAAATGGAAAGGAATAAGACAATCCTTAATAGCCTTACAGTGAACAGAGTTCAATTTCAAAATTTTGTGTACCTTTAGTTAAATCTATGATCATGGACATCCAAATGTAGACATCATACAGTCTTAATTACAGTGTGTTGGGCTTCCTCTGATCAAGGCATCTGTGACTAGTTAAGGATGTTGTGGACGATGAAGGAACATAGGGTTACAAGATCTCAGGCCCTGGCAATTTTTTTTAAAAAAAAAAATATTGAACAACCTGCAGCCACCTGCATTTTCAAAATCTCAATAAGGACAGTGATAATTGGAAATGGCATGAGGAATGCTGCATTTCAAAATTTCCCATTGCACTACTGTTCCTAATGTTTGAAGTTAAATATGCACACACGTCATTATGGTCTCTATATTGGATGCATGCACATCTGATCATGAGGTATAGTGTGGATACTGTAACAGAAAATAGAGAACTGCTAAGAAAGGGAAGTGTAAATTACTTTTGCATCTTCTTCCCAAAACATTATGTAATGTCTGGGTTTATATATATATATATATATATAGGCAGAGAGAGAGAGAGAGAGAGAAAGGAAAAAACAACAACCCACCACCCTATCATATTTTATAAAGCTTGGATTTAAAAAATACTATCTCTTCCTGTTTATTACTCATAGCCTGTTAGTTGTAGCACATTTTATTCCTTTTATACTTCCTTTGAGGAGGTAAGTTTTATTGAGTTCAGTGGGATGGTGAAGTCTCAAGATATTCACAGCTGGATTTGCTTTACTCTTCTGGGACACGATATTGAGAGAAAATCTCTGAACTTCAGTTTCCACTTCCCAAATCAAAATTTGTCTCTGTTTCATTTACTCCCTTCCCTTGAAGATTTTGGGCCTTTACAGACTGCCAGAAATAATGCAGCTTGAGGCCACTTTAACTGTCCTGGCTCAATGCTAAGGAATCATGGGAACTATTTTTTTTCTGGGACATTGAGCCTTCTCTGATAGAGAGCTCTGATGCCATAATAAACTAAAGCAAAAAGCAAAGCAGCCTCATTTATATACTGCTTCATACCGCACTATGGGGTGTCTAAGCAGTTTACAACTGTAAGCTCATTGCCCCCCAACAGCTGGGTATGCATTTTAGCAACCTCGGAAGGATGCAGGCCTGAGTCTAGCCTGAGCCCTGGCTAGTATTGAACTCGCAACCTAGTGGTCTATGAGTGAGTTCCCATGATTCCTGAAGGCCACAACATCAAAACTGAAGACAATTTTAAAAAGCCATCAAGACAGATCTCTTCTGGCAGGCCTACCCGGAATAAACTATTCATCTATTTTGATCTCCCCTCATCAGACATTTTCTTTTTTCTTGCCTTGCCTATTGTTTTTAATTTTGTCTATTGTTTAATTTCTAGTTTTAACTAAGACTGGATTCATTGTATTTTTTATGGGAGGGTAAAATGTGTTAGTTTACATTGGTTCATTGTTATTTGGAAAGCTTATTTTATGTATCTGATTTTAGATGTAAGCTGCCTTGATTGCCAAGGCTAAAGGCAGGGTATAAATAAATAAATAAATAAATAAATAATAAGTTTTATTTCTAGCCCGCCTCTCTGCATTGCAATCGAGGC